TTTGCTCAGGCAGGAGACCCTATAGCAGGGGTGGGCCACCTTGGCTCTTTTATGACTCGTGGACTTCAACTCCCAGAATTCCTGAGCCAGCCATGCTGAGGGGAAAGGGGGAGGTTTCCAAGCTGAGCCAGGCTGGCTCAGGAATTCTGGGAGTTGAAGTCCACGAGTCATGAGGGGGCCATAGTTCCCCCATGCTGGCTCAGGAATTCTGGGAGTTGAAGTCCACGAGTCATGAGGGGGGCCATAGTTCCCCCATGCTGGCTCAGGAATTCTGGGAGTTGAAGTCCACAAGTCATGAGGGGCCATAGTTCCCCCATGCTGGCTCAGGAATTCTGGGAGTTGAAGTCCACAAGTCATGAAGGGGCCATAGTTCCCCCATGCTGGCTCAGGAATTCTGGGAGTTGAAGTCCACGAGTCATGAAGGGGCCATAGTTCCCCCATGGTGCTCAGGAATTCTGGGAGTTGAAGTCCACGAGTCATGAAGGGGCCATAGTTCCCCATGCTGGCTCAGGAATTCTGGGAGTTGAAGTCCACGAGTCATGAGGGGGCCATAGTTCCCTCATGCTGGCTCAGGAATTCTGGGAGTTGAAGTCCACGAGTCATGAGGGGGCCATAGTTCCCTCATGCTGGCTCAGGAATTCTGGGAGTTGAAGTCCACGAGTCCTGAGGGGGCCATAGTTCCCCCATGCTGACTCAGGAATTCTGGGAGTTGATGTCCACGAGTCATAAAAGAGCCAAAGTTGCCTACCCCTGCTTTATACCATATTCTCACTTCCCAAATAGAGTCTGAAATATTGAAGGGGGAAAAAAAAATATCCTAGAGAGGAATCTTGAATTTTAACTATGGGAGGATTGTAAAAATACTAGATTGTTTTTCATTTTCTAATCCTTTTGCAGCCTTCACAAAAGCATGCAGAAAATCCTTTTTTTGGGGGGGGGGGGAAGGAGTTTCTGAGTAGTTTCCCAACAAGATCTTGGAATTATAACTAAATGAAAATGTTGGGGATCTCAAATAGGGGTAAAAATACTCCTTGGATTGCCATCGTTGTGTGGCCCGAGCCTACCACGATACAAGGCTGGGTTATTTGTGACTAAAACCCTGGCAAAGTCAATTAAGCAGAAAATAGCAATGGATCAATTGGTCACCCTCTGTGCTGCTCTGCCAGGATCTTAAGATGGCTTAAATTTAAGGATTTGGGTTCCCACTAAGGATTTGTATGTGAAAAGCAAAGAGAACAGGGTTGAAGAAAGACGATGGTAAATGGAAACTATTTATCTGTGTCAGAACCTTGATTTCTGTATATTGACAGTTAGCATGCTTAGTAGACTTCACAGCCAAGAATACTTCTCTATTCATTGATTGTATTATTCTGTTCTTTCCACACACAAAAAAAGAAGAAGAAAAAGAAGAAGAGTCATGTACTTAATGCTTTCCCTGTTGTGGACAGAGTTGCATTAGTCAATACTTAATGTCATATAATTAATACCGTCCGTATGCCGTCATAGCTATATCATTCATCATGTTGCTATCCCTCCATTTTAGAAGGTGCCAGTTGCCAATTAATATGCCTAATGGAAACTGGGTGAGCATCAACAATGTGTTTTCATTAGCAGACAGGCCTGTGGAGCATCATAAGGAAGAGGCTGGTTACTAAGCAATAGCACATCCTATGTTCGGCATAAGGACGTTTCAGAAATAATGTGTTTTTTTTCATCCTATTGTTTCTGAGAAAGTACATAAAGCAGTGTTTCAGTTTTCCCTTAGATACATTCACAAATTAAATCACTAAAATACAATGAAGCGGGCTTTAAAAATGCTGGCCGCGGTTTACTTTTTTTAGGTCTAATCACAGAAAGGTTATTAATACATTTTTAGGCAGTAACTCTTTACAGAGGAACAAAAGAACCACTTGCATTTATTTATTTATTTATTTGTTTGTTTGTTTGTCATCCACAAGAAGTGAAAGCTTTCTTTAAAAGAGACCAGTATCTATTATGCAAAATCTGTAAGCGTCCATCAATGCAGCTTTGTTTCAATCATATTGGCCTTAAAATGCAAAAATAGGGGTATATCCAGCTCAATTTCCATGTGAGTAAGGACACCTGGGAGTACTGATTTATTTATTTTTTTAATTCCCTTTATTTCTGTTTCGTTTTGTTTCAAGAAATGGAACAACTCTTCTTGGGTTTTCTTTTTCGCTTGTGATTATGAATCTCTCATGTAACATGTTGTTTGGCCTTGAGATCAAACACTGATTAAAACAGCAATGTATTTCCACAGCAAAATAGACACGACAGTGTCAGCTAGGGAGGTGTGTTCCTTGTTATGAGGCTTAACAGCTCGTTCGTAAAGGTGAATAGCAGGATGGAGCCAAAGGATACTGTTAAATCAACCATGGAAATTATTTATTTATGTCACGGTCTTTGCAATCTGCCCCTGTCTACAGACTCTGAATAGCAGAACAAAGAAAAACCCGAGTTCATAAGATCACAGAGACACTCAGCCTTCCCAAATGACTGACATAAATGTTTAGTTCAGACCTAGGTGTTGAACCAACTTGTTTTGATAGTTTTATAGAATGACGAGCAGGAAAGTTTTCATGAACTTTTCAGGAGAAGGAAGACAGAAGCCACCCAGAGAGGGTGCTCCTCTAATCTTATATGGTGTGAGGACCTCTCACGATGTTCTTATCAGACATTTGGTTTCTGATGTAATCAGGACATCACGTAGGGCAGGGATAGTCAACCTTGGCTCTTTTATGACTCGTGGACTTCATCTCCCAGAATTCCTGAGCCAGCATGGCTCAGCTTGGAAACCTCTCCCTTTCCCCTCAGTATGGCTGGCTCAGGAATTCTGGGAGTTGAAGTCCACGAGTCATAAAAGAGCCAAGGTTAACTACTCCTGACGTAAGGCATTGTAAGTCATCACCAGCAGCTTGAGTGAGCCTGGAACTCCATCATAACTATGTTAATCTTGGTGTTACTTTATGGCAGTGTTCCTCAACCTTAACAAGTTTAAGCTGGAGAATTCTGGGAGGTGAAGTCCTCACATCGTAAAGTTGCCAAGTTTGAGAAACCCTGACGTACAGTAACAGGATTGTTCCACTGTCTGCAACTTTCGTGTCATCTAATGTTATCCCAAAGGTGCTTTTTCATGAGGCAACTGTTTTCTTTGAAGACAATTTTGCTTCCCAACCAAGAAGCTTCTTTAGCTCTTCAGAGCTGAAGCAGCTTCTTGGATGAGAAGCAAAACCTCTTCAAAGGTAAACAAGAAAGTCCAGTTGCCTCGTGAAAAAGCACCTTTGGGATAACTATGACTTGGATGACAGAGAATTTCCTCAGGCATGTCATCTAATGCTATTAGGACACTAAATTTCATCAGGTTGAATAGAAGTGGTGGGCAAGGTAACCTTTCTAATATATTGAACAGAGAATAAGTTTGGCCTTTTAAATGACAAGACAAACCTGACTCTATTAAAAACACCTTCATATAAAGCCCTAACTTTACTATGTAATGACAGTATAGTTCTTCTCTAGACCATAGGTCTTTTGATTTGGGCTTATGCTTTATGAGCTATAACGGTGGCGAACCTATGGCACATGTGCCAGAGGTGGCACTCGGAGCCCTCTCTTTTGGCACATGCGCCGTTGCCCCAGCCCCACCTTCCCCTGTGGCCCTCTCCTCACCAGCAGCCCCCCAGTCACTCCCGGGCACGGCCCACACGGAGCAGCACAGCCAAGTACATAGCTGGGCAACAGGGACAAGACTCCACCCTTGCACCCCATAGCGGGCAGATGATGCTGAGGGGTGTGGGTGGAGGGCGTGGCTGCCATGGTGCTGCAGGGCTGCCTGGGTAATATGCAGCGGGCCACGGGCATGGTGAGTGGCCCTGCAGGTGGGTGGGGGCGGGCAGGGGCAGAGCAGGCAGGGTGGGAGGCGGAGCAGGGACGGGGGGCGGTTTTTGGGCACTCGGTCTCTAAAAGGTTCTCCATCACTGAGCTATAATTCATCACTCTGTGCATTATAGGATCCAGATGTGCTATATTCAGTAAATCATATCTGAAGAATACATGATGTAGTACAGCCAGTATATTCCAAATGGCTACTACGACGTTCTAGGACATGTTCAAATATTTCATTTGATATTTCAGTTAATAGATGTTGAACAAAATGGGTTTGTGTAAGAGTTTCACTCCTGTTCACATTAAGACCTCAGCTGCAAATCAATCAACGGAGATTAAGATATCCTCCATTCAAACTTATTTGTTTGCTTCGGCATTGCCATAAATCCAGCGAAGACTGTCAAATTTGGATTAATCAACATGATGAAGAATGGCTCTTGGAATGTGTTCCAAGCAGAATATGCAAGCTTCAAGTGGAAGTTATAAATTTTTAGCAGAGTAGATGGAATCAAATAGAACTCCATGTGTTTCTTTTGATCTGTTCTTTGCTGGTAATGAGCCTGGTGAAATATCCACCATATTTTATGCTGAAACACATACGGAGAGATCTTCAAATTAAAAATTGTAATGGGTTTGGAAATTTTGTTCTGACATGAAATGAAGGCATGTCTTGGTTTGAAATTTGGAACCAAAAAAAAAAAGCTCATTCATTTACTACTAAACATAGTAGAATTTTAATTTTGCATTGCCAAAGTCAAAGCTCGGTGAAGTAAACTAATGGAAGCTAAGGACTTTTGAGTGAAACTGTGAAATTGTCACAGACGTTGAATTTACATTTACTGTGATGTTATAGCGGGGGTCTTCCAACTTGGCCCTTTTATGACTTGTGGACTTTAACTCCCAGAATTCCTCAGCCAGCATGGGGGAACTATGGCCCCTTCATGACTTGCGGACTTCAACTCCCAGAATTCCTCAGCCAGCATGGGGGAACTATGGCCCTTTCATGACTTGTGGACTTCAACTCCCAGAATTCCTCAGCCAGCGTGCCTGGCTGAGGGATTCTGGGAGTTGAAATCCAGAAGTCATAAAAGGGTTCAGTTTGAAGACCCCTGTGTTATATATTTATACATATATTCGTGGTTTCCTTTTAATGTTGGAAGCCACCCAGCGTCTCCTGGGTGGTAAGATGGCTGACAAGCAAATTTAATAAATAAATAAAACAAATAAGCATAAAGCAAATGCATCAAATTTGTAAACCGTTTCCAGATTTCAGACCATTCAAGATCCATGTGGTATATCAAGCATGGCTTACATTTATGAGTTTTGTTTTTTTTTTAAGAATGACTGTTGTAATTTTTTTTTAAAAAAAATAACAATTAAAAAAATAACTACAAAAGGGTGGTTGGGCTGGGTCAAATAGCATGTTCCTTCTTTTAACTCACAGATCCAATTTTTCTCCAGAACAGCAAGGGAGAGGCCAAAGACCCATTGTTGGGATTTGTGGACCGGCCAGCTGTAAGGAAGGAAAATTATCTGGTAAAAAAAACCTTTTTTTCCCTACTTTTTGATGGATTTCTGCATTAGTATGTTAAATGCTAAATCTGACACTTCGTTGATGAATTACAGTAGTGGCCACAATGGTGGAAACCTTTTGGGAAAAGAGTACATTTGAGGTTTGATGGTTAATAACACCCCCTTTTTTTGGAGTAGTACCATGAAATTATATATCAATGGAAAGATAATTTAATCAGGAATGTAATGCAACAAAGTTTGTTCAATTATCTGTACTGTATTCTATGAAAGGTTATAGCCAAATAACCAGAGAAAGGAAGCACAACATGCTTACGTTGAGATCAGGTAGCTTTCCTTCACCTGATTGTAGCCAATGAGCATGAGTGTTTAGAGAGCCAATCAGGTGTCACCTTATTTTGGCAATGAGCCAATTAGATCACAGTAGGATCCAGTTATTGATGTCATGTGTTGAAGCTGAGAGGAGGAGATTTGTCAGTGTGTTATGTGATCGCTATCAAGTTGGTTGGGGTTTTTTGTGTTCTTTCATTTAGTGAGCTTGTAAAACGTCATAAAATTAAAGAAATGGTGCAAAGAGTTGACTGGTCGCCCGGAAAGCGATGTAAAATAGTACTATTAAGTGAACAAGGCTACAGTTATAAAGAAATTAGAAGAAAAAATTGGTGGAAACTTAACCAAAGGTGGCATTTCTACTGTACACTTTTCCCCAAAAGGTTTCCACTATTTTGGTCACTACTGTATGTAGGAGCTCTAAATATGAACAACTTTGGGTGCCTAGCAATCTTTTCTCTAAGTCAGTGGTTCTCAACCTTTTTAATGCCGCGACCCCCAATCGGTCGTAAGTCAAGGACTACTCAACTGGTGCAGCACCGTTTGCAGAATGGGACTTTTGGCAGGCTCAGCAAGGCAGAGACAGCCTGGACAATTCCTATTGGCTTTTGAAAGCCAATTGAATTAGACTCTATTCAAGAGAGTCTATTCTATTGGCTTTCAAAAGCCAATAGAATAAAAGGGAGTAGCACAGCTAAGGAAAAGGGGGAAAAATGGTGGACTGCATTGTTTGGCAACCCCCATGAAATGGTCATTCGACCCCAAATGGGGTCCCAACCCACAGGTTGAGAACCACTGCTCTAAGTAGTTATTCTCCACTCAGTTTTTTTGTCTGTAATTGTTTGTTTGAAAAAGACCTTTTTTATTATTATTATTTCTGTTGCTTCCTGAAAACACTACTAGAAGAGGTCAGGAAGAGAGAATGAATAACAGAATAACAAAGTTGGAAGGGAACTTGGAGGTCTTCCAGTCCAGCCCATTCTCAAGCAGAAAACCTGATACCATTTCAGACAAATGGCTGTCCAGTCTCTTCTTAAAAGCCGCCAGTGTTGGAGCAGTCACAACTTCTGGAGAACAACGATTCAATGTTCTCACTGCAAGGAAATTAGTTCTAGGTTGCTTCTCTCCTTGGTTAGTTTCCATCCATTTTTTTTCTTGTTCTGCCTTCAGGTGCTTTGGAGAATAGGTTGACCCCCTCTTCTTGGTGGCAACCCTTTAGATAATGGAACATTGCTAGCACGTCACCCCTGGCCCTTTTCATTCAACTAAACAGACTTAGTTCTTGCAACCGTTCTTCATAGGTTTTAGCCTCCAGTCCCCTGATCATTTTTGTTGCTCTTCTCTGCACTCTTTCTAGACAACTTGAGAGGTTGAAAAAAACCCCCCACACACCTGCCTGAAAGAATTGTTTGCAAAGTTTTGATCACAAAGGGATAATTTTGCGTTGACGCATAGATTAAAAGTGCATTTTATATGCAGAGGTTCCTTAATGGATGAGCTGGAAAAAAAAAATGTCTCTGGTCTTTTTCCATATGAGCTACACTTTTGCACTGCCATTTCAGCTCTGATGGAGCAGAATTAAGTCTACCAAATAATGTATGCCATATTTCCCTCAAGCTTTTTCCGGGAAAAGTGTTCGCACAGAATGTCAGAGCTAATGAACTGCAATTTTCATCCATAAATGTAGGGAGAAGTGGCAGAAACATATGGAAAGAGGGGGATAATTTGTGCTAAAGGAAGAATGGAGTTATGTTGGTGCCATCAAAGCTGACACCAGTCAAAGCGCAGAACAACTCAAAGATGTAGTGCAAGATCGGAAGATGTGGAGACACCTGGCCCATAGAATCATCCTGTCAGTCCTGCCCCAGCTTGGTCTCTTAAGTAAGAATGACTCTTGACTCCATTTGTTGTGAAAAGTTTACTTTCCATAAAGGCCAAGTGGATTACAGTATAGCAAAACCAGGACTGAAGTTCACATGCCAAACTTTCCTGGTTAATTTTCCCCATCCATTTCCTTCCCTCCAATTTCGAATAAATTGTTTTGGGAACTGTCCCTTCAACAGCAGGCTGGTTGATGAGCTGTTACATTCCATTGCCAGTATTTTGAGATGGACCTTGAGATGGTGTCTCTGGAAGGCATGATGAGTAGTTAGCCTTTCCCCCTGCTAACCGGATCTCTCCCCCCTCCATAGTTCATGGCAGACTAGTGAACGTGAAGCTCAAGTGAATGATGGCAGTTCTGACACATCAAGAGTTGGACATGACTGAATGGATAACATTGTCATCACCATCACCATCATGCTGGTCTATGACCACAATAAATATTTGATTTTAGAATAGAGTAGAGTAGAGTAGAGTAGAGTGGAGTGGAGTGGAGTGGAGTGGAGTGGAGTGGAGTGGAGTAGAGTAGAGTGGGATGGGATGGGATGGGATGGGATGGGATGCGATAGAATAGAATAGAATAGAATAGAATAGAATAGAATAGAATAGAATAGAATAGAATAGAATAGAATAGAATAATGGAATGGAACGGAACGGAACAGAACAGAACAGAATAGAATAATGGAACGGAATGGAACAGAACAGAACGGAACAGAACAGAATAATGGAATGGAATGGAATGGAATTAGAATAGAATAATAGAATAGAATAGAATAGAATAGAATAGAATAGAATAGAATAGAATAGAATAGAATAGAATAGAATAGAATAGAATAATGGAATGGAACGGAACGGAACAGAACAGAACAGAACAGAATAGAATAATGGAACGGAACGGAACAGAACGGAACAGAACAGAATAATGGAATGGAATGGAATAGAATGGAATAGAATAGAATAGAATAGAATAGAATGGAATGGAATGGAATGGAATGGAATGGAATGGAACGGAACGGAACGGAACGGAACAGAATAATGAAATGGAATGGGATGGAATTAGAATAGAATAATAGAATAGAATAGAATAGAATAGAATAGAATAGAATAGAATAGAATAGAATAGAATAGAATAGAAGGGACCTTGGAGGTCTTCTAGTCCAGCCCCCTGCTCAAGCAGGAGAACCTTTACCATTTCAGACAAGTTTCTGTCTAGTCCAGCGGTTCTCAACCTATGGGTTGCGACCCAATTTGGGGTTGATCGACCATTTTTCAGGGGTCGCCAAAGGTGGCGATCCACCATTTTTCGCGGCGCCGTGCATGCGCGCCGCGCATGGGGGCAGCGCCGCGCATGCGCGTTGCGCGTGGGGCGGTGCCATGCACACACGTCGCGTGGGGGGGTCGCACATGCGCGTCGCGCGTGGGGGCGGTGCTGCGCATGCGCGCGGCGCCGCGCATGCACAGAACGTTTGTGTGACAGGGGTCGCCGTCACACAAACGTTGAGAAGCACTGGTCTAGTCTCTTCTTAAAAACCTCCAGTGATGGAGTGCCCACGATTTCTGAAGCCAAGCTGTTCCACTGGTTAATTGAATTTGAAGCAGTAAACATGAAGATGCTATTGACCCTTTTACAGGTATATATGCCTACTCACTCATTAAGAAGAGACTGGACAACCATTTGTTTGAAATGATATAGGACTTCCTTTTGATGAGGGGTTGAACTAGAAAACCTCCAAGGTCCCTTCCAATCCTGTTATTCTGTTATTCCGATGATTCTGTTATTATCTGCCTTCAAACATTATCTGGTTTTTTTTTTTCTCTTTCAAATTCATGTCTGGTCCTTTCCCAAGGATAATAAGTGTATCAGAAGGAAATACTCTCCTATCATGTCTATCATTTCTTTTGTTTCTGACCTTGTTGTACATAAAGTTTAAGCCCTGTACAAACACCTTACAAACCATTATCACAAAAATTAAGATTGATTTCACTTTCTTCTGAAGTCATGGTAGCGTCCGTGTGACCGGCATGGCTGTGGGGGACCCTTCAAAAGCGCTGGAAGTAGATGGAGCTCTTTCTGTTTAAAATAGCTCAGCCATTTTCCAGATTTGTCTCATGGCTTCAGAAGCTGCTGGCGGCTGTCACTGAAATATGCGCTCTGCTCAACGTCATTGGTTCCCTGATGGTTTTTTTTTTTAGTCTTTTTGGGTGAAATCCTAATTGATGACGGTTGCTGTAGAAGTAGGGAGCCGTTCGGAGTCATTAAAGGTAACGTTCAAAAGGCAAGGTAAGGCACCTGCTTTAGGAGTCCTTATGGAACAGGTGCAAGAGAAAAAAGGACTTGCCATAGGCAATGGAAACGCATAATAGAATATACAGTAGTAGCCAAAATTGTGGAAACCTTTTGGAAAAAGTGTATTTTTGAGGCTTGATGGCTAATAACACCACTTTTTGGCGGAATAGTACCATAAAATTATATATCAGTGGAAAGATAATTTAATCAAGAATGTAATGCAACGAAGTTTGTTCAATTATATGTAGTGTATCCTATGAAAAGTTATAGCCAAATAACCAGAAAAAGGAGGCACAACTTGCTTAGGTTGATATCAGGGAGCTTTCCTTCATCTGATTGTAACCAATGAGTGTGAGTGTTTAGAGAGCTAATCAGGCATCATCTAGTTTTGGCAATGAGCCAATCAGATCGCAGTAGGATTCAGTGATTGATGTCCTGTGTTGAAGCTGAGAGGAGGACATTTGTCAGTGTGTTGTGTGATCGCTGTCAAGTTGGTTGGGGTTTTTTG